TAATGTTTAGTAAAAATGTACATATATATATATATATATATATAGTTATAAGATTTGTTTTGTGTAAACAATATAGTTTTTTGTTAATTGCATGAAAACAGGTAGAAACCAGAGGCAAGAAGTAGAAGGATTCATAATGTATAAATATATTTATATTTTATTTTACATAGACAAACAATCCTCACTTTGAAACAATAAGGAATATGATGTATGAACTCATAGACTGGCGACGTCAAATTTTGTCTGGAACACTACCTGTAGTAAGTAACTATGTAGTTTTTAATCTATTCCATTATAAATCATATCATTTCCTAAATTTTAATTGATCATTTTAGTCCAAAAGTTTTGTTAACTGCATCAATTCAGTAAAGCCCCCCCCCCCATTGCCACAGCAGTATGTATGTCTGCATACTTACAATGCTAGAAATGTTTAAGAAACGTTAGATTAACCTCTTAAGTCTCACTACGTACTAGGTAAGTTCGACCAAGTTCATGACACCAAATTGACCTTTAGATTTTTCCATACTATAACTTCTAATATGGTTTGTGTATCTCCATGAAATTTTGCAAGCTTTAAGTTAATGTTATAAGTCTTTTGTGGAAAAAAAATCAGGATTTCTAATGAGATAGTTTTACTAAAAATTTCTCCATGAATATATGGAGTCAAAGTGTTGACTGCTCCGAGAGCAAAGTGATTTTCATGTTAAGATTAAAAATATTTTTCTGTATCTAAAAATTGGTGAGTTTCATTTGCATAATCTCTAAAACGTACTAAATAAATTTCAGACATTTGTTTTCAGCAAAACTTTATATTTTATTTATTATTTTCTCTACCTTAACTCTATCTTTTTATCTTTCTATAATGACTTCAAATTTTAACTACATTTGTTTATTCTATATAGCTTAAAACTCAGTTTCTACTTAGATTTTATTCTTTTATTGCCCATTAAACTGTGTCTAACTAACAATCCTGCCACAAAAGTAGTAAATCACTTGGCGAAGGTGTAGCTCATGTTAACCTGTCCAATTACATAATGCATGAGCTACTCAAAAGCTGCATATGAGCATACCTTGTGGAAAATCTTTATTATTTTTTTCTATATCTTACCTTATCTAACATAATAAGTTTCAAATTTTTACATTTTAGTTACTTTTATAATAATAATAAACAATACACATGAAAAACAAGAAATATAGTCTTATTTGGTCTTCTTTTTCTTTTTTTTTTACTCTCTACTGTTGTTAAAACTAAACCTTACTTTTTATACTAAGGGTACTGCTACTCTAATTAAATTTTTATTTAATTAAATAATATACCTAAGAACACAGAATAGTAACACACAAAAAGCAGACAATGTCATATAACTATCATAATTTTAAGGCTTTCTAACTATGTGGCAAGAGCTGTTCAAATTCAGCTAAGCTTATTGATGTGTTTCCCATGGGAATAAAGCTTGTCTAGAATTGAAATAGACAAGTCTCTGTACAGAAAACAACATAATATAATACATCATTTCTTAGATAAAACTTTGGCTTTCTATTGGTTATAAATAATGTAGTATAAAGAGTCAGAGAAAACTGTAGACAATTTGTGAAAGAGAAGATGTGACGGGTGGGCTTGACATGGAGGGGTCTGATTTTGTAGTTTATAACTCTGGAAACAAATAAGATTGAAGGCAATAAAAATATTTTTACTACTACTGTGAAACTGTGCAGACATGTACCTGGTATCAGTATGTCTACTCCTATGTATCTGAGAAACTGTTTTCCTTAACTCTTTCAACATGGGCTTGGTCCCTCGGGCTGACCCCGTGCTTGTAATAGTTTTCATGCTATAAATTTTAAATTAGTAAGCGTATGTTAACGAAATTTGTCATATTATCAGTAAACATTACAATGGTTTCATATGCAAAATATACAATTTTTTTATTAAGTTTTAAGGTTTGTAAAGCAATGTTTATCTAATGCCTTTTATTTTATTTTTGCATGTTGCCTATCCAATATGCAAAGTAATTTTCATTTTAGGATTAAAAATACTTTTATGCATCAAAAAAATTTCGAATTTCACATGCAAAATCTTTATCATGTCCAAATCATTATCAAATGTTTCTTAAGAAAAAACTTTATATTTTATCTGTTATTTTTAGTAACGAATCTATGTATGGGTTCGGTAGATTTGACTGATCTCGCAACCACCATAAAAAAAATAAGGAAATAAATATAAATTATGTCTCTTTCATTCTAGAATAACAACAAATTATAACATGAAAACATAAATGTTTAGACTAAATATCTTAAATATCATAACATTATATTTTTATATATATTTATTATTTTTATTATATTGACTTTTAAGCCATGCTTAGCTAACAATACAGAAGTTAAAATGATGCGGCACACGTGCACTCATGTTATCGTATCCAATAATTTAAAACTGACCTTTAGTCTTTACAAAGTGGCCTGTCTTGGCTGTGTTT